ACCGACCTTCGAATCTCTTCACGCAACACTTTCACTCGAAATGGAAGTAAGCTCAACAATTGTGAAACAACCCAACTTTTCCTCGCATTTGCAAACGTGAGCCAGTAAGGAAAATCTAGGCCTGTTTTATATCCACACATCATTACTTAGTCAGAGTTGCCGCAATCACATACCACGTCTCGCCCGATCATTTTAAAGCAACATTTCGAATGGCATGTCAAAGTTAGCCAAAACTACAGCCGATATGTACACTGAAGTTTTCGCTCAGACCGTCAGGTAATTAAATGGTGAGCTAAAACACAATATTTTTGCTTCCGCTACCTTTGCCAGCATGGCTGGACAAATGAAGAGATTTATGGCAGCTCAGAAAGCACAGAAAGCTGTTGGTTGCTTCCAGGCAGTACATCCGGTTGAGGATAAGATTTATCTTGTGAAAGCCCATGAAAATTCAGAAAATGTTAGCATTTAGAGGATAATGGACATGATTTTCTCCATCACAGATGGATAGACTGCCCTTAGATTTACATATTAAGACAGTGGTTCCCAAACATTTTCTAATCGCGGCAACATTTTTCAATTAAAATTTTTACATGGCGCCCTACCCTAAGTGTAACTATTCTTAAGTAAGAGATAGAAATAAATAAAACTCGTGTATCTTCATTATTTTTTTTCACTTTATCAACATTTAATTAATATTTAATATTTAATGTGATGGATGAGCTTGCAAATCACTGCAGATTTTGTCAAATTGAAGCTTTTAAAATATTTCGCGGCGCACAGTTTGTGAATCACTGCATTAAGAAGAAAAGAGGATGTTTTTAAGCAAATTCAGCGTTCTGAACTAAAGTTATTTTCGTAGGCACTTTCTTTTATTCACAACATTTGACTCTGCATTCATTTTGCGAGACTGGCACAGAAATGACGGACTCGAACAAATTCCATTTCACTCTGCTCATTTTACGCCATCGACGACCCAGCACGCTCATCCATTATTGTATAATTCCGTAGGGTCTATATTGGTACCAATAGCTTATGGATACATTTTGCATAATTATCCTACCTGTACGCTGTTATTTGAAAGATCAAGCAGGGGGGCTACTATGTTGGATCTGGAGTGAAGGAAGGATGAATTAGGCGACAGCCGCATTTACGGAAAATGATGCTTAGGCCAAAGGGTACAAGAAGAGACTCAGGATTTTCTTGAGTTTCAAGCTGTTGGATAGCCGAACTAAGATGAGCACAAATTCAATTCATCTATCGCTAA